TCAGGAGCCGGTTAACCTCCCCCTCCCCACCAGCGCAAACGCAGAACCACCTGCAGGAGGTGGGGCCGCACAGACACTTCTAGCCTCAACCCAGGGATCAGGGCAAATTTTGTTAAAGGCGCTGCCGTGTCTCATGGCCACGAGCTTCCTGTGGATGGTGGCCGGCGCCCACTCGTGCCGAGGGACACCTGGCCTGTTGGCCAGGTTGCGGACGGCGCCTGGGCCGCCTGGGAGGAGTCTCCCCGCGTTCCCCGCGCTGAGGCTGCCACCTGGCGGCCGGGGCGTAGGTGGTGCTTTGCCCGGCCGGTTTCCCGAGAGAAGGGGATGGGGCTCCAGGTGATGGCCAGTGACCTGGCCTTGGCGTCCTCACTCTAGCTCGTGGAGTTGGCCTGCCTGCGTGTGAGGCTTTGAAGAATGCCCGCCTGCGTGAGCGTTTGCCTGGTTACCGAACTGCGCTTTCATAATAGGTTCATTGACCACTTGGATGTCTTCTTGTGTGATATCCAAGTCCCGTGTCCACCTTTTTGTTGAGTTAATTTGTAGAAATTCCTTAGTTAGTTGTTTATATATATGTTGCCGTGATCTTCTCTCAGTCCGTGGCTTTCTTTTTATTCTCTTATCTGTATCTTCTAATGAACAGAAGCCCTTCATTTTAATGCAATCAGGTGGCTCAGTGTTTCCCCTTTATGATCGATGTTTTTGTCTTATTTAAGACAATGTTCTCTATCCTGAGCCCTAAAGATATTCTGCTTTATTATCCACTTGAAGCTTTATTGTTTCCCAGCTACATCTAGATCTACAATCTACCGGAACCGGCATTTGTGTGTCGTCTGAGATATGGGTCCAATTTCATAGCTTCCTGTTTTGATATTCATTTGTGCCATACGATGTGTTGACAAGACCCTCCTTTCCCCAGTGCTTTGAAGTGCCACCTTTTGTTGTCAATCAAGGGTTTATTTGTGTGAAGATACTTCTGGACTCTGTTTTATTTTAGACTGGTTTATCTGCCTGTCTTTGTATCAATACTACACATGTTAGTCGCTATAAAAAATGAGTCTCAGTGTCCAGAAAGTCCACCAGCTTGTTCTTCAAGCTATTTGGGGGCCTTTGCATTTTCCACAAAAATTGTAGCATCAGCTTCTCCAGTCCCTCTGCTTCCCTCCTCCCCACAACACACACCTGTTGAGGTTTGGTTTGGGACTGAATTAAACATATAGATCAAGCTGGGGAGAATCTACTTCTTCACATGTTATATTTTTCAGTGATGAACAAAGATAAGCCTTCATTTATTTTTGTCCTTAAAGATTTCTCCCCATTATGCCATAGAATTTCCATCTCAGGTTTTGCACATCTTTTATCAACTGTATTTTGGGACATTTGGTATTTTTGATGCTATTGTAAGTGCTATCTTTTCATTTTTATGTTTTAACTGTAAGTTGCTGATATGTAGAAGTGTAGCTGAGTTGGTATCCAGAAATCCTACTAATCTCAATTATTAATCTTAATGGTTTGTCATATAATTTTTAGATTTTCTAAACACACAAAGGTATCATCTATGAAAAGTGATCATGATAGTTCTTCCTTTCCAAGTCTCATTATTTTAAATAATAAAATAATAACTTTGCCTTATCAAACTAGCAAGAACCTCAAGGAAAGTGCTGAATAGAAGCGGTGATAGCACTTGCTTTTGGTATCAGAAGGAAAGCTTGCAACATTTCTGTCTTAGTTGGGGCCACGATAACAGAATACCATAGATTGGGTGACTTATAAACAACAGAAATTTATTTCTCATGGTTGTGGACTCTGGGAAGTATAAGAATAAAGCACTGGCAGAATTTGTGTCTGGCGGGGACCTGCCTCCTGGCTCATAGATGGCCATTTTCTCACTGTGTTCTTACCTGGCAGAAGATATAGGAGAGCTCCCTGGGATCTCTTTTACAAAAGCACTAATCCCATTCATGAAGGTCCATCCTCATGACCTAATCACCGCCCAAAGGCCCCCCCTTCCAAATACCATCACATTAGGGATTAGGTTTCAACGTATGAATTTTGGAGGGACACAAACATTCAGTCAACAGCAAGCATGATGTTCGCTGTAGGTTTCGGTAGATAGTCTTCATTAAAGATGTTTTCTTCTATTCATAGTTTCTTCTATTCATAGTTTTATCCATGTTATTATCATGAATGGATATTTAATATTACCGAATGTGTTTTTCTGCATCTAATGACAAGATCAATTGATTTTTTCCCCTTTTTTATTCTGTTAACTTGGTGAATGGTCCTGGCCTTTGAATGACACATCAACGCTGCCTATCTGGAACAAACCCAGCTTCCCAGCTTGTTGTAGTGAAGCTTCTATGTTATATATCGCTGTCTCATTTTATTTCAGATTTTCCCATAATGCTTATGATGACATTTGCCTGAAGTTTTCCTTCTTTTTCTTTTGTTACTTTATTTTAGAGAGAGAGAGAGGAAAGCACAGTAGGGGAGAGGGGCAGAGGCGGGGGTGGGGGGAGAGAGAGAGAGAGAGAGAGAGAAAGAGAATCTTAAGCAGTCTCCATGCTCTGTGTGGAACCGGATGTGGGCCTCGATCCCACAACCCTGGGATCATGACCTGAACCAAAATCAAGAGTTGGACGCTCAAACGATAAAATAGAAATAGAAATAAAGGAACAAATAAGAATAGAAAAAGAAAAAAAGATAAAAGAAATAATTTCTTCTACTGACCTTGATAGGTTTTATTATCAAAGCCATTCTATTTTTATAAAACAGTTGGGGGATGAACTCTGCTTTTCTATACTCTAGAAGAGGTTGTGTAAAATTGGCATTATTTATTCCTTCAATATCGGGTGGAGATTCACCTGATGCTTTTTTGTCTGTGTTAAAAGTTTTTCAGTAAAGATTTAATTTCTTTAATAATTATAAAACTTTTCAGATTTCACATTTCTTCTTTTAAAAATTTTAACATTTGGGGCGCCTGGGTGGCGCAGTCGGTTAAGCGTCCGACTTCAGCCAGGTCACGATCTCACGGTCCGTGAGTTCGAGCCCCGCGTCGGGCTCTGGGCTGATGGCTCGGAGCCTGGAGCCTGTTTCCGATTCTGTGTCTCCGTTTCTCTCTGCCCCTCCCGCGTTCATGCTTTGTCTCTCTCTGTCCCAAAAATAAATAAACGTTGAAAAAAAAAATAAAAAAAAAATTTTAACATTTTTTGGAATAAAGTTTTTCATACATTCTTATAATCCTTTAAATGTTGGCAGCATCTGTGGTTATGTTCTCCTTTTTATGGTGTACATCATTTTGTGCCTTCTCTCTTTTATCAATTTTACTAGTTACTAGTTACACTTTTCAAAGAACAAATGGTGGCTTTGTCAATCTTCCCTGTGATGATATTTTTTTCTATTTTATTTATTTTAACTCACACCTTCATTTATTACCCTCACTCCTTCTTTGACTTTAACTTGTTCTTTTTCGTTTTAAACTTCTTAAGGTGGGTGTTTAGCTCATTGCTTATGGAAGTTTTTCTTCTTTCCTAATATGCAGTTAAGTGCTTTTGACACACTTCAAGGTCCTAGAGAAAAAGGATTAGAGTTCAGGGTTTAATGAAACCCCCTTATTTGGGTTGGGATCCAGAAAGGCTATATTTTATTTATTCATTTAAAAAAATTTTTTTAAATGTTTATTTTTGAGAGAGAGAGAGAGCATGAGAAGGGGAGGGGCAGAGAGAGAGGGAGGGTTCCAGACCTGGGAGGTTCCAGGCTCTGAGCTGTCAGCACAGAGCCCGATGCGGGGCTCAAACCCACGAACCTTGAGATCATGACCTGAGCCGAAGTCGGACACTTAACCGACTGAACCACTCAGGCGCCCCTGGAAAGGATATTTTAATAGCAAAGGGCGAACTAAAAATAAAAAAAACTTCTGCAGAGACTATAGCACAGCTCCACATTATCTCAGTTCCCGAAGTTGAGTTGGGGTGATCCTGAACTTGTCGCCCCTTAGTCACTTGGCTGTGCCCTCTGAAATCAGTGAAGGGCTCCAGGGAAAAAGGCTGAATGGCCCCATTTCTGTGGGACTTCATCTTTCTCTGGGCTCTGTCCTGGCAGTTCTTCACTGTTTTTATTAGCTCTGATACCTTGACGAATATATTTTAAATATTTTGTCCAGCTTTTTCAGTTGTCCCGAGAAGGAGGCTCAGTTCAAGTTACCTCACCTGCCATTACAAGAAGTGGAAGATGCATCTAACTCTTTATCCTTCACATGTGAGCTGACAGTTCCTTTCTCTGCCACCCACACTCTGAAAGCTTGTGGACTATTCTCTTAAATTCCAGTGACTTGAAATTTCACAATGATTGCTTTCGGATAGATCTGTTTTCATCCATTGTGCTTTGTATCTGGGCATTTTCTTGAGATATGGAAATTAAAAAAAAAACACTTTACTTCCCCCACTCCCACCCCATTTCCTTTGTTCTCTCTCTAGGGAACTTTTACTCTTCAGGTATTGAAATTTGGGGCCCTCTTTTAAAATCTCTGGTTTTACTGGAACCTGCTTCTTCATTCTTCATTAGAAAGGTCCTTCTTATTCCCAACCAGAATGATGGGCACATCGGGGTAGAAATGACTGGTCTCTGGGGTCCATTTTACTGGTGTTTTGAAAACTATTAGGGCAAACCACAAAGAAGCAGGTCAGCACCACACTGACATCTGGGTAGGAGAGAGGTCTCAGGAGGTCATACTCTTCCTGCCCAGCCGTGTCCCACAAAACCAGCCCCACCTCCAAGTGGGCCAAGTAGCTCTCACCCTAGCGTGCAACTGAGAACTGGTCCTTGACTAAGCAGCTCTTGCCACACCCGCTGTCACCCCTGGCCACAGTAAATGAAAGCAAGAAGCAGCATACTAAAACCTGAGCAGTCTCCAAAGAGAATCATTGGGTAAGGTATACTGAGCCTATTTTGGCCAATAAGTCAAATTCTTAACTGCTTTTCCATTCGATTTTCATCTGAGGAAGTGTGTGCTTGTCTTTCTGGAACCTAAATGTCCAATTGGGATTTGGAGAAAAGAAAGAGGAATGAAGTTAGACAGGGATATCAGAACCCATGTTTGCAGTCTAACCCAGGGTCAGTCTCTACTTGTTCGAGTAATTATCTTCGCAAGATACAGAAGACAGTAACCACTCTTCTAGGAGGAGGTGAGTTGGGGGTTAGGGTAAGAGTGAGAAGAGATGCAGTACTGGTTCATTCAGAGAATATTTACTGACGGCTCCTATGTGCACTAAGTTCTGGGGGAGTTTCTTTTTCTGTTTTAAAATTTTTAATGTTTATTTTTGACAGAAAGACAGAGTGCAAGTGGTGGAGGGGCAGAGAGAGAGGGAGACACAGAATCTGAAGCAGGTTCCAGGCTCTGAGCTGCCAGCACAGAGCCCAGTGCGGGGCTGGAACTCACGGACTGCAAGATCATGACATGAGCCGAAGTTAGACGCTCAACCGACAGAGCCACCCAGGCGCCCCAAGTTCTGGGGGAGTTTCAAGAAATAATACACAAATTCTTGATCTTGTGGAAAACTCTGTCCAGTCTAGAAGGGGGAAGAGTTAAGAGGAATTTCCAGTGTGAGCACAGTCTGGGCTCCCAGACAGTCTAATACTTGATAATTTTCAAATTGATATTCTCTATGTATTTATTCCAGTTTTATTTCTTGTGGAGTATAGAGTGGATTTTTATTGAATAAAAATTGCATGTCTCTCTCCCTTGGGTACCATTAATGGATTTAGCACCTGCATTGAACATACCTTGACTCAGTAAAATAAAATTCTCTCTTTTTTTAGCTTTTTTGTCTTTTATTATGCTGACCAATGCTTATCATAAGATTATTAGAAAACATAGAAATGGATAAAGAAAAAATAAAGGTCATTCAAGATGCTACCAGCAGATAACAAAATTCTCTTTTATTTCATGTTTCTTCCACTATAGCTGAACACCACTAATTACATTCCTTAAAGACAGAAGAAGTTTATGTGGATATGGTTTTTAGGTTTTGTCAAAATGTGTATGGAAGTTATTCTTTTCTGATATTTCCATGAATTCTTTGATGCCCCTCCTCTCAAGAAGTAGAACTTAATTTCCAACCCCTAGAGATGGGCTGGACTTGATGACTCACTTCTAACAAAGAATATTGCACAAGTAATGGGAATCCCTTCCAAGATTTGATTCTGTGGCTTCCATATTTTGGTGTTCCCTCTCTGTCTCTCTCACTCTCCTTCTCTCATCACTCTCTCTGGCAGAAGCCATGGCAAGAGCATCCTTATGGAGAGGCCCACATGGTGATGAATGGAAACTTCCAGTCCCAGTCAAGTCTTCAGAGGCTTGCCATGCCAACGGGTTTGACTACAACCTCATGAAAGATCCTGGACCAGAACCACCCAGTTAACATACTCCTAAATACTTGACCCTCTGAAGCAGTATGAAATAATACTAGTTATTTTAAGCAGCTTTAAATATTATTCTTTTCCTGGCTTGCACATCCCTTCAGAAATGTTTAAAATGTAGATACTCAAAAAAAAAAAAAAGACACTTATTCTCACTGAAAACCACTATGCTGTGAATTGTTCGGTTTTAGAATTTTAGCCCACTTCATCTGCTATATTCAGTTGACTAATACCTGATTGATGTCAAGACTGGCTACATGTCTTTATTTCCATATGCATGTCACAAAATATTGATCAAAGGTTGATCAGCACTGGCAAGGAGAGTTTAAAATTTTTCTACTGGACGGGGTGCGTGGGTGGCACAGTTGGTTAAGCATCCAGCTTTGGCTCAGGCCATAATCTCACGGTTCGTGAGTTCAAGCCCCACATAGGCTCTGTGCTGACAGCTTGGAACCTGAAGCCTGCCTCAGATTCTGTGTCTCCCTCCCTATCTGCCCTTAGCTGGCTCATGCTCTCTTTCTCTATCTCTCTCTCAAAGATAAATAAACATTAAAAAAATTTTTTTTAATTTCCACTGGAAATACACCGGAGGGCTTTGCATATTTCAGCAGGATGTGTGTTTGCTTTTCACCAGTTGTGAAAGAAGTTGCATGGGGAACTCTGGGCAGCTGGCTGTTCTGGTCCCTGATCTAATTTAGGAGGTGTGGCAGGAAAGGCAGCGTGGCACTGTCTTGAGGGCACCAGTAAGATCAGTTGGGGGTTGAGAGAAGCCAGGCGATATACCCTTAAACGAACTGAAAAAAAAAAAAAAAATGTTACAGAATATTTTTCTGTCAGAATTTTCCCCCTGCGGCTGTCTTCATCTGTAAAATGAAAATTCTAACATTTGTCTCATGGGACAAATGTATTGTAAGGATTAAGTAACAAAATGTATGTATAAGCCTAGTTAGTCTCTGGCTAGTTGTTAAATACATGAAAATAAATAGGGGCTGTTATTAACAATAATAAAAACATACTGGAAAGATATCAAAGAACATTTTAATAGAATCATTTTTAAGCCTCCAAATTATTTAAAAAATATAATTGATGTGGAAATGTGTTTACATTAAAGAAGTGACATTTCTACTGTAAAAATTTCCTTTTAGGATCTGGTGACTTGGTCATAAAAATTGTCTCGGGAGTGAAAAAAACACACTGATACTTACATAGAAATAGACAACGGACAGAATGGAAGACACAGACCAAAAACACATTTTTGGATTTTTAATAATTTGATGTGTACATAAATTAAGCAGTAATTATCATGCATAAATTAAGCATAAATTATTGAGGGAATAGAGGACTCAATAAAATATTCAACACTATGTTGAGGCATTGATTGTCCATTTGAAAAAGAAGACCTCTTGGATGCATATAGTACACAATGTGGCCAAACCAATGTAGGAGAGGCTTAGGAGTTAAATACAAAACTCAAAATTGAAAAAATACAGGGGAACATATAAGCAAATATTTATCATAACTGTCAACAATGGCAGACATTCTAGGAACACACAGGATGCAACAAGGCTCAAAGGAAAAGGTCAAAAGATGTGACCACTTGAACGTTTAAAAAATTTTCTGTAAAAAGTCACTCAAATTAAAATTAGGCAAATAATACTTGGAGAACTATTTGCAGAAAATATGAAAAGGCTAATATATTTACTCTTTAAAGATCTATTAGAAATTCATACCAAACAAACTAAAAAAAAAGAAAAAGAAAAAATGAAGTGAAAACACTGACATCTCCTTAGATAAATAAGCCAAGAACTGAAAGGCAATTTATAAAAGAGAAAAATGCCAACATGGTTAACAGAAGAAATTACTCTGTTTTACTAGGAAGCAGAAAAAGCGAAGTAAAATTATCATATATTTTGGCCTCTAAGATTAGAAATGATAAAAAAAGTAATATTTGTGATGGTATGATGAAATAGGCATGGGTCATGTCCAAATGGGTACCCTGGCACTTTCCTGTTGGTAAATAGTTTAACAAGACGTAGTAAGAGTCCTAAACTATTCATATCTTATATTAAAGCATTTACTTCATAATAGTAACACAACTCTTATTTATTTAGAAATAAACTTAACAGGGGCGCCTGGTGGCTCAGTCTGTTAAGTGGCCGACTCTTGGTTTCCGCTCAGCTCATGATCTCGCAGTTCATGGGTTCGGCCCTGCATGGGGCTCTGCACTTCACGGAGCCTGCTTGGGATTTTCTCTCTTTCCCTCTCTCTCTGCCTCTCCCCTGCTTGTACTCTCTGTCTCTTAAAGAAATAAGCTTTAGGGGCGCCTGGGTGGCGCAGTCAGTTAAGCGTCCGACTTCAGCCAGGTCACGATCTCGCGGTCCGTGAGTTCGAGCCCCGCGTCGGGCTCTGGGCTGATGGCTCAGAGCCTGGAGCCTGTTTCCGATTCTGTGTCTCCCTCCCTCTCTCTCTGCCCCTCCCCCGTTCATGCTCTGTCTCTCTCTGTCCCAAAAATAAATAAACGTTGAAAAAAAAAATTAAAAAAAAAAAAAAGAAAGAAGCTTTAAAAATGTTTTTAATGTTTATTTATTTTTGAGACACAGAGTGAGTGGGGGAGGGGCAGAGAGAGAGGGAGACACAGAATTCAAAGCAGGCTCCAGGCTCTGAGCTGTCAACAAAGACCCTAATGCAGGGCTCGAACCCACGAACCGTGAGATCATGACCTGAGCCGAAGTCCGACGCTTAACCTACTGAGCCACCCAGGCGTCCCTAAAGAAATAAGCTTTTAAAAAAGAAATATTAGAAAGGTGGAAGTGCTCATTTTTTTTTAAATGTTTATTTATTTTTGAGACAGAGAGAGAGCATGAACAGGGGAGGGCCAGAGAGAGAGGGAGACACAGAATCTGAAACAGGCTCCAGGCTCTGAGCTGTCAGCAGAGAGCCCGACGCGGGGCTCGAACTCGCGGACCACGAGATCATGACCTGAGCGGAAGTCGGACGCCCAACCGACTGAGCCACCCAGGCGCCCCAAGAAGTGCCCATTTTTAAAAGACTTCAGAGCTCTTCTTTAGAGGCAATACTTGAAGAAATTGATAGACCATACCATGTCCCTATCTGGAAAGATATATGGTAAAGCTGTCAACTCTCCCAAAACCATCTATAAATTTTACACATTCCAATGCAAATTTCCAAGGTAGAAGGTTCCAATCAGAAAAATGATTCTATAGTTCAACATGCAAGACTAATCAAGTCCATTTGGGAGGAAAGAGATCAATGAGAATGTGACGCGAATATGTGATTTCTAAAATGAGCTATGAATGAATGTGTATTCTAAAGCTACGGTGGTTGAAACATTGTGGTACAGACAGAACGGAGTAACACAGTAGAAATTCCAGAAGCAGGCAACGGTGTACCAAAGCATTTGATGTTTGACAAAAGGAGGTACTTCAAATTATTGGGAACAGTCTTGGGACCTAAGCTATAGAATTAAAAAAATAAAGCTGTATCACTATGTCACATCATGTACGAAAATGAATTTGAGATGTCCAAATGTAAAACATAAAATGTAAACAATAAAATCCTAAAATAAGCGCTAGAAAATATAGATGAATATTTACATAAACTTGAGATGGGGAAAATAATTTCAAGTGTGACAGCAAAGACAGAAATCATGAAGTAAAATATATGCTTGGCTACAGGAAATGTTAAAAGTCAAAAACACCAATAGCATTAATAAGAGACAAATATAAATAAGGGAAATGTTGGCAGCATATATGAAAAACAGCTAACACTTGTGTTAACGTAAGAAGATAAAGTTCAGCGTCCCTCACAAAGAAATGCAAAGTAAAACAGTAATGGGAAATAGTGATTCACTTATCACATTGTAAAAAGATTTTTGTAAATGGTAATACCTAGGGTTGGTGAGGACCAGGGAATTAGCCCTGTTGCACTGAATTGGTAGAAAAGCCAAATGGTACAATCTGCCTATTGATAATTTGTCAATATTCATAAACGTGTTGAATATACATACATACACGCATGTGGCCTGTTCAAGGAAACGGCTGTGCAAAGACATATCAAAGCCCTGCCTTTAAGAGTGAAAAACTGGAAGCAACCTGAACGGTCGAGGCAGGAGTTTGATCAAGGAAATCCTGGTGCAGTTATAAAATGATGCACCCTTACAATGAAGCAGGTGTGCTTCTTAACATGGGATTGAAAACAACCAGGCTGTCCTGGGAGTGGGGAGGGAGAACACAGAGTTCTGGATGTGAGAAGGTGGGAGAACAAAATGCTGAAAATCAGACAGAAAGTGAAGAAACGGGAGGCCGGTGTTTGCAGGGAGGCTGAGACCCCTGACCAGGCATTCTCGGTTTGAACGCATCCTGCCTCTACTCACAACTTTGCTAATGAGCCTTACTAACGACACTATTGCAACCACTCATCACTAATTGGCTTCCTCCACTGTCCTCCCTGAGGTCTAGTTTCTTTCTGACTTAAGGACCAAAAAGAAAGGAAGTCTTCTCTGGGCATCCCTTCCCTCTGGCCTTATTAGCAGAGATGCAGAAGACAATCAGCAAATCCCACCTTCCCTTAGTCCCTAGGCTGCGTTATCCTGAACTCTCATTTGGGAGCTAATTAGAAGATTCTGTTTGTGGATCTTGGAAGGACTACATTCCCCAATCCTGACCCTGGCTGTCTCGGCGGGAAACCTTCATTAGAGCAGTTCCTGGGTGGGTGGGACTCCTGAGGTCCTGCGGAGGCTGGGGAAGTTAGCAAAGTTTATCAATTAGCTGTCTCTTGTGAAGAGACCAAAAGATACTGAGGTGTCTGAGGGCCCAAGAGAGTCATCATGCTCCCTCCTGTTGTGTGGGGGAAGGGGTGCAGGGCAGCAGCTTCTACAGCACTGAGTCCTTCACCAGCTCATTCAAGGGAGCTGAAGGCCAGTGCAGTGCAAAGGGCCTAGCGCTGTCTGGGAAAGCCGGCATTTTTCGCGGGGAAAATCCCTGCTCTGGTCCATAGTAGAGAGAGGACACAAACACTAGAAATCTGTCAATGCCTTCTACTTGAACCCGATGGAGTTTTCACATCACCTTCACGCTGCACTTGTCACCTCAATAATTCTGTATTTCAATTCATTGAATGCTCCGAATAATCATCTGAAGTGCATGTTATGATGCCCTGTGCATAGATGAGAAAAGTGGGGCCTGCAGAGAGGAAGTGGCCTGCCCAGTGTTACACAGCCAGCTCGTAGCAGTGTTAGCCCGGAAGCCGGGTCTCCTAACTTGACCACAGCGTATTCAATTTAACTAGGAGCATGGGCTTCTCACCTTGCTGCCTGGCACATAGAAGATGCTTGCTTTAGTTTCTCTTCCCCGAATCTTACCCTGGACAGCTACCTGTCATACCAAATATAAGGTCGGAATTCTTTTAGGCCCTGAGAGCATCATCTAACCAGGTCCCTCAAACATAAAAAACTCTGAAAACAGGTTACATATTATCTGGCTCATGTTCCAAGATTCCTTTCCAGGCTCTCTTCTTCCTGTTGCAATCATTATTAGCTCTCAGGCCTCGTGCCTCTGCCTGGCCCACTGCTACTACCTCTCCAGTTGCTGAAGACCAAGAACCGACTTTTATACACCACAGGTCCACTGCCCATCAATCAATTGTTCCTGGGCTTGTACCCTGTTTTCAACCTTATCCTTGTCCATTTAATTGCCCGTGGTCCCTTATTTTCCCTCAGCCTTTGGCAACCTATGTGGGTCTGAGTATTTATCATATGGCAGGTGAGTGAAAAAAGCCAAGCTATTTGGAAGGGACTAATTACAGATGGAAGGAATTGATGCTCCTAAAGTTCACGTAGCCTAAAGTAAAAGAGGCTGGATTCGAACCCAGGTCTCCATATGTCCTGTCTAAAGCTCTCTCCACTCAACTACGCTGCCTTTCCCATCTCTGAGACTCGCTGCACCTAGAGTCATTATCACCGTTTAGTTTTGAATTCTTTGGTGATTTATTAGAAGCAGGTTGGGAGGGAGGCAAAAATGCTGCATCAGGAGTTGGCAGTTGGAGGCTGTCCTACCTACTAAGTCTGTCTACGGCCTCTGGAAAATCACTTAGCACGTCTGTACCTTTGCTTTTTTTTAATCTGCAAAGTGAGGATAATAGGCGCTGGCCTTCCTACTCTGCAATCCTGGCCCTGGTTGTGGGTGACACTCAACTATGCAGGTACAATATTCAAATGAGAATAGATTTCAAAGTGTTCCGTAAATACTGTTGTGTGCTAATAGAATAAAAGAGAAAACCTACTACTTTTATCATTTTCTTGAGTCCTAAGAGTGCCTCTCTCTGTGATGGACAAATGGTTAAGCCTCTTGATGGAGAAGGAGGCATTATTGGGATGCATATGAGAGCATCTTCCACTACTCCTATGTAGATGCCCAATATGTATAAAATGACATCTGCTGAGCTTGACAGATGGGTCCTGGCCGTCCTCAAAAGTTCACAAAGTAACCGATGACATCTGTAACATATTTCTTTGGATGTGGGCTCTCTGAAGTCAGGGTGGTGATATGGTTAGAAGTTGTCTTTCGGTGCCGGGAGTCCACGAACCTTTGTCTGCAGCACAGGGAACTAGGAAAGGTCAAAATGGGTCCCCACCAAGATTAGTCACTACTTCTGAGTAGAATTACGTTGGTGTGGAATGGAGGGTACAGTTCAAATGGTCAGGGCCAGGAAGGGCATGGAGGAGGGAGGAAAGGCCCACCGAGAGTATTCTCCTAGGATAGGGATCGTTTGGAGGAGCAAGATGGCCAATGACTGGCTTATGTCTCTCCCAGGCGCCCAAATCTTGACCAGGTGAACCCAATGGCCTTCTGTTGGATGGACAAGCCAACTTACTATTTTTCTCAAAGATGAGGATGACAGAGGACACTTTGAAGGCCGGAGATAAAACACTACAGTCCATTCACCCTACCCTCCCAACTCCGCATTGTCACCATTAGCATTTTTTACAATTTATTTTTTGCCGTGGTTGTTTAAATTACAGAACCCAGGGAAAAAAATTCAAATAAAAATACACAAAATAAAAGCTGAAGTGCTTCTCCACTCCCCACAGCCCTACCCTCCTCCACAGAGGGAAGGAAGCACTGTCTAAGCTCGGGGGTTGTTGTCCGGGATTTTTTGCCTACTCACCCCCTCTGCCCCCGCTCACATATCACATTATCGTCACTTTCCAAATTTAGCAATAGATGCTATACACCTTTTCATGTCAATACATTCACATTTCTTTTTAAACAAAAAGAGGCTTTTTAGTAAAATGATTTACATGAATCATGAATTGCTCATATTTGCATAGCAGAGTCAAAAACTATACAGTTCAGATTTCCCTGGGGAAGAAATGGCTTTGTGAAACATGATCACACCTAGTTAGGCTAAGTAACAAAATTCACAATATCTAAAGGCAGGCCTAAAAAAACCATGCGCTTCAGAACATGAATTAAAGACAACCACTTTGTCATAGCACATGATGACTTGTTTATTATTACCCCTCCCCTGTCACGTGCTCTAAGTTAAGTGGATCCCGGTTTCTGGGTGTTACGGGATTTCACACCCTGGTGCTCTGTGCTCAGCTTTGCGAACTAAATGCTCTCTTCCTAATTCTCTGCAGGCAGGAGACTCTTCTTTGGCTGTAGCTTCAGGCAGGATTCTCTCAGTTCACACGGTTCGGAAAGTGTTGCTCTTTTATGGCAAACTCAGTGATTGCCTTTATTTCATCAAAAACAGTGGGTTCTTTTTCTTTCATATCCAGTACCTTCCTCATATTGCCCCCCTCCTCCTTCTTTTTTGGCCTGAAAATGTCCATAGTACCTTCATTTCACCAAAAGTTGCCCCAGCTGTGTCCTACAATTTCATATCAGGATGAGTTTGTTGGACTTTGAGAGGGGCGCCGAACTATTCTGAGTGCTCCTTCTCCTGAAACATGCTCCGTCCTCACATTTTTGGTGCAGGAGCTGTGAGAGTCAGTTCGCACACGGACATGAAAATGTGGTGTTCCCACTAACGATTACTCAGGATGGGGACACTGGTTTGCGGAGCCCGCATGTGGCAACGTTGCTCTGAAGAAGACGCTGGCAGGGCGTTCGGACAGGTCCCAATGCCCCCTCCTAGGCTACGTCAAACCTCGATTTAATGACACAGTCCTGGGTTTATTTCCTGAAGAAGAATCTTCTAAAAACCACACCCCCTACTCTGGTACGAATGCATTTTGTCTTAAAAGGTGAGTGGAGGGTACAAACATTTTGCTTTTATTAGCATTTTAAATATATTTCAGCTGAACACTCACTGAACTTAAACAAATAGTGGATTTGTGTCCCATTTCCTGACCCACGTTATAATTTTCTCCCACCTGACTTTAATCCATCTCCTACCAGCTTTAGCTTTTCTCCCCAATCCAAGATAAACCATCCTCTACTCTGGTCCATACTATCTACTTTCCTCCCATCCCTCAACCCACCCCTGAAGACACCTGTGACCGACATCATGCCTTCAGCATGGGAAAGTCAGGGGGTGCTCTAGGAGGGAGGGGTATTTCGATGCCCTGCCTTCTCATTCAGGAGGCCGCTTCCCCATCAGCACCCTTTTCAGGGCGCCCTGCACATCAGGGTTCCGGAGGCTATAGATGAGTGGGTTCAACATGGGGCTGAGGATAGTATTGAGGATCCCAATCCCTTTGTCTTTGTCTGAGGCTGACCCTGAGCCCAGACGCATGTAACTGAAGAAGCCAGTTCCATAAAAGATACAGACCACGGTGAGGTGGGAGCCACACGTGGAGAAGGCCTTCTTCCTCCCCTCTGCTGAACGGATTCGTAGCACTGCAGCTGTGACGTGGGCGTAAGACACTGAGATGAGGATCATGGGGAACACCCCCATGAAAGTGGCCCCCACAAAAAGCAGCTGCCCATTGAGGTGGGTACTGGAGCAGGAGAGCTGGAAAAGGGGTGGGAGGTCGCAGTAGAAGTGGTTGACCACATTAGGGCCGCAGAAGTCAAGCACAGACACAGCCACTGTGTGAGTCAGAGCATTGATAAAGGAGATAGTGCAGCAAATGGCCACCAGGGCACCCCGGACTTCACGGCGCATGCGGGTGCTGTAGGTGAGGGGCCGGCAGATGGCCAGGTAGCGGTCATAGGCCATGGCTGTCAGGAGGTGACAGTCCACACCGGCCAGGAGGTGGAAGAAGAAGAGCTGTGAAACGCAGGCAGTGTAGGGGACTCTGCACTGGGGGGGCAGGAGACATGCTAGCATTGGAGGGACCGTGACAGTGATGCATCCAATGTCCAGCAGAGATAGGTTCCCCAAGAAGTAGTACATGGGAGTGTGGAGTTTGGGCTCCACAAAGATGGCAGCCAGGATGCTGAAGTTGCCCCCTATGGTGAGTACATAGGCAAAGAGGAAGACGACAAAAAGGATGGGTTTCAGTCTTACGTTTTCTGTCAGGCCAAGAAGGATGAACTCAGTGACAGTTGTCCTGTTCCCCCAGGCGCCTGGCTCCATAGGCTGCTGCTGCTGAGCTCTGTAGTGGGAGAAGACCTGAACCTGCCAGAGAAGGAAAGAGACACACAGTAGGCACCTAATCTGTGGCTACTGGATGCTGGGGTAATATGGCGTGGGCACCTACCAGCCTAGAGCTTAAGCAGTCTCCTGGAGGGCCCCACGATGCCAGACATGGACCTTTAATTGCTGTTTCAGGCTGAGATCCAGGGGATCCTAGGGAAGGGGCTGGGGCAGAGAGACTACTCTGGGGCCCAGGACACTGACTATTTACCAGCATTTTAACAGCTATTAAGGTTGTATCTGTGTGTAGTGCTGAATAGCAGTTCTGACTAGCTCAGTGAATAGATGAATATAGGAGGTTGTAGGAAGCACAATATAGGAGAGTAGGAACAATCTAAAGAAGGGTAGGAGGACGAGATCTCACAAAATCAAGAAGAGATGCAAAGGGAGAGTGAGCAAAGAGAGGAGCAAGGAGCAGACCAAAGTACAGAAGCACTCGGACGCTAAATACGGAAGGACACGAAGGTGACTTAAGAAAGCGCTGACAACATTTTGAAAGTATAAACTCTGAGAGCTGTGCTAAGAACTTCATATTTATTTTCTTATTTAGTTTTCATAGAGCTCTGTGGGGTAACTGCTATTATATCGGTGTAATCCGGACCCTGGGGTTTTTAAAGGTTAAATAAGTAGTCCGGGGCTGTAAAGTAGGGTCTCAAACTCAAGACTGTCTGACTCCCTAAATCGACACCTGTACTGCCTCTTACAGAACTTGGGTGTATTGTTATTGAGGCTTTATAAATGACATTGTGTGCTACAGAGAGGGAAGGTTTTCCTAAGTCTTCAGGTCTTGGTATCACTACAGCTATTGAAAGAAGTCAAGATCCCATCCATCCATCCATCCATCCATCTTTTTATTCAATAGTTGTCTATTTGTTGAAGGTAGTAGATTCTGCATATATTTTGATGGTGGAACTAACAGACCAGGCATGAAGTGTGAGAGAAAGAGAAGTACAGGGATGATTCCAAGATTCTTGGCCTGGACAACTGGAGTTGCTATTAAGAGATATGGGGAAGAATGATGATTTTGTAGGGGGTGGGATGGGAGATCAGGAGATTTGCCAAGGGAAAATAGGGCAGCTGAAGTCCCAGGGAAAATTTAGCCAGCTTCTACTCTATTGCACATAGTGGAAGTTCCATTTACCTAACAAATCCTTGGACAACTGAGGAGTGAAGCCATGAAGTCAAAAGTTCTTTCGTGGGACTGCATCAGTGGCTCTGGAAAGGTAGCTTTGGGGCCTCCTTCTGCTTGACTCTTGCCTCTGCTAGGCCACCCTTTGTCCAGGACTGTGCTAGTGCTCCCTTCTAACTAGAACATTCTCTCTCTTTCACGCATCAAGACTCCATCCTTCAAGGCTCAGTCGTGGGTCATTATCCCATCATCTCAAAGAAATCTTCCTTATGCACCCCAGTTTTTAAAAAAATTGTTTTCATGTTTATTTATTTTTGAGAGAGAAAGAGAGAGAGAGAGAGAAGGAGCGGTGAGCAGGGGAGGGGCAGAGAGAGAGGGAGACACAGAATCCAAAGCAGGCCCCAGGCTCTGAGCTGTCAGCACAGAGCCCGACGTGGGGCTCGAACTCACAAACCGCGAGATCATGACCTGAGCCGAAGTGAGACGCTCATCTGACCGAGCCACCCAGGCGCCCCCTTATGCACCCCAGTTTTTAACTGATCTTTCCCTCCTCTGATGAGATCATTGATAACCTGGATCATTCTAGCACTTGCATATGGAGAAAGGGTAGGGAACTGAACCATTGTGAGGAGTAGGTTACAGAGTCACGACTTGGACCACTCAAAATCGATAGCACAAGACACAGAATGTAGATTATGCTAACAGGCTACCACAGGAGACTCTACACTACTCCTGGCACCTCCATTCTGCCCTTTTCTATGAAAACCGTTGGCAATCTGTTGGGCTCAAACTCTGTTGGGCCAGCGCCGACCCTCAGTGGGAGAAAGAAGACTGCTAGTCTCTCACAGGTTGTACCTTCCTTTCCAGAATCTACCTCCCACCTGGGACCACCACCGGTCCCCTCAGTGGGAAGCCAGCCACTGACACTGTACATTTGGGTTCTGTTTTCTATCGCGATGCCGGGCAAACTTTAGCTCCGCCGAGGGCTACACTCAGACACAGAGTAGAGTGGCAATGCCTCCTTTGCCCTCAACAGACACGTGTCCCCTAGATGCACCTCTCCAGAATGCTGGAGGTAGGGCAGGGATCATGGCTTTGTCCGTCAGATACAGCTTTCCTGGTCAGACTGTTGTAAAGGCAATATGTAAGGAGAAAAGGTGCTCTTGCCTTCAAGGAAATCACACTGTAGTGATTGTGGAGTTCTAAGAGAGGTTCATAGGTCGCCTACCTGGATCGGAAGGACTGTAAATAAGAAAGCCTTCAGCTGAACTGGTGGGAGGAGACAGGGACACTTGGAAGACTTGAGCTCCCTGGGCTTTAGGAAACAGAGGACCTGACAGCCACTATCTGACGAAGGAGACAGGACATGTAGATAACATGACTCAGATTTCACCAGTATCAGCAGTTAAGAAGGGCAAGTTAAATTTCCTTAATAAAGGAAGAGGGACTTGCTCCGTTTACTGAAATACAACAGAAAAAAAAATTACTACTTTGTGTTGAAAAAGCATAGGGAAAAGACCTCTGAGTATAGCAGGGTTCTTTCTCACGGATACCACCCCTCTCTTTCCCTCTGAGGTCGGCTGTGGGGTTTCTTGAGGCTGGGAGTGGTTTTTTTTAGCCGCCAAGGAAGTCTCCTGTGCACAGATTTGAAGGCAGCGATTGCTGCCGGATGAAGGAGCCTAAGGGTTTCTCCCAACCCTTCTTGCCTTCGTTCTATAAAAAGCGAATGGGCAATAATCCCTTCCTCATTGTTCGCCTCTCCCTGTTCCATGATTGGAGAGGGTAAATTTCTTCCATTGTGAGTTGGTCCCATGCATATAATCCCTCCCCCAGTGCTGAGGAGGCCCAGCAAAGTGTAGCCTTCGAAGTCAGCTTATGACTAACAAGAGACGGTTTCCTGGGGGTGCTGGGATTGGAGTGACAGCCAGTGACGGGTAACATTTATCAAGTACTTTGTACCCAAGTTGCTTTTATGTTTTCCCTCATTCAGTCCACACAAAAAGCCTGTAAGGGAGGTAATAATAACTGAGACTTAATTAGATCTTACTATGTGTTAAGCAATGTTCTGAATATTTTACCTGTATTACCTCATTTTACCTTAAATAAGCCTCGGAAGTAGATACTATTACAATCCCCATTGTACAGACAGGAAACTGAGGCACAAAGAGGTAAGGTAGTTTGTCCACATTTAGGCAGACAGTGAGGAGCAGAGCTGGGGGTCGGACCAAAGGCGGCAGGGGACCCATCAAGAGTCCCCCAACACCTGCCACTTCCGAGACAGGCAGGTTATTTGGTGAGAAGGGAGTGGGTATTTGTCGGGATCCCTTGTCACCAGAAGAAATGTCCTCACAGATGGATTTTCCTAGCTTAACATTAAGGCAAGCCCAATCTGGGTTGGAAATCATAGCAGTGACACAATCCAGTGTCACATAGCACAGTGGCAAGAGTTCATTCTTGCTCTGAGCAGCAGCAACATCTCTCCATCCTGGATGCATCTGTCCACTCCCCACCCCAATCATCTCCCACCCTGCCGGTTCACACAACGTTCAGGTCATCTCAAGTTCTCTGTTCCAATTTGCCCTGCATAATTCTTTCTCTCCACAAAGTCATGCATGATCCGCCCCCTCCCCTCTACTTTTTTCTTCTCTCTCTCTCTCTCTCTCTCTCTCTCTCTCTCTCCCTCTCTCATTCTTCTGGTTTATAAGAATGACAACTCAGCAAAATGGGAAGAGCTGTGGAGTTGGAGTCCAGGGACTTATGTTTTTTGTGTTATAAACAAGTTTCTACTAGCACTGGGACCTTGGAAAAAGGAAAAAAAGAAGGGAGAGATGGAGAGAGGAAAGAAGGAATGAAAAGAAATAAAACAGAAAGCTAATGTTTACATAAATACAAACCTTCTTTCAGGTATATTACTCCATTTGACTCTATTATATGTTACTGCATTATGTGTTACATTTAAACTTAGCAAACATTCTTAAAGATAGGTAATCATCTTACGAATGAGAAAAAAGAGGCTCAAAAAAATTAACTTGCTGAATTTCACACGAGCAAGAGTTTGTTCTGAATGGAGAACTTGTTCATTTTCTGCCAGCCCCTGCTGTTTTCCAAGGCTATCTATCATCTATCTATCCATCCATCCATTCGTCCCTTTTTCTTCTGTAATGTGAAAGGCTGTACTGCATTCTCTCCAGGTTTACTTAAAGGTAAATACAGGCTGCTCTGTCCCAACCAACCTAAATAGCCTCCTTGGCTCTCCCAGACTCTTCATTCCCCCCTTCTCTTTAGCCCAGTCAGTTCCCTCTGATGTCCTTCTGTTTGCCAGCTCTGTCCTTCAATCTTCCAGTCACTCAGAGTGGAAAACCTCACCATATTTCCCTACCTTCCCTGAATCCAAGCATCCCTCAATTCTTTGTTTTATCAACAAGGAAAAAGCCACGTGAAGACCTTGAGTGATGTCCATTCACCCTTACTCAAGACGGGAGGAAACTCGGGGTTCTGGAGCAGTGAGAAGTCGTGGTGGGGCTTACCCTTCTGTGAGCACTCTGCCTAGTACTCTTGCCTGGGTCTTATAGAGATGGGGATGAGTGGTAAGCTGACCCAAGGTGGCCTGTCTCCAAACACTTTTAAAAGGTGTGAGGCAGCGACCCAGAGGTCTGTCCTGGTGCTCTAATTGGCAGCTAACGAGCACTTAGAGGCCCTAAAAATGAACTCTCTCAGGGATTGCACAAGAAGCCAGAGGCAGACAAACAACCTCGGTCCTTAAGGGTCTCTCTCATCTGCCGAGTATTTTGGACTCTGTTAAAGAACCATTAGATTTATGACATCGCTCCAAGCTCCTAATGTCTCCAGGAAAGGAGGAAAGGTGATAAACAGTCACCATGTTACAGATGGAAATAAGATCCAGAGGGCTGAGATGATTTGCCAAGGCCAGAGAGTGGGGGGCTGTGGTGGAACTCGGGGCCCCAGCTAAGCTGATTCGGGCACTTTTCCTCTCATTTGTTTTTCACGTTGGGTTTTTAAGGCATAACTTTAAAAGGTCGGGTTCACTAAAGCATAATTTCAATTGTAAATTTTGATGAATTGTGATAAAAGTATACAGTCATGGATGTACCGTCTCCATCAAGATGTAAAACATTTCAACCACTCCAAAATGTTCCCTTCTGCCCCCTTGTGGACAATCCCCTTTCTACATCATAGCCCATGGCAACCTCTGATCTGATTTCTGTCCCTATGTTTTTGCCTTTTTCAGACTGTCATAAATCATACAGTAAGTAGACTTTTTATAACTGGATTCATTCAAGCAGCATAATCTTTTTGAGATTCATGCATGTTGGCCGTACTA